TCCCAAGTCCTCATATTCCCGTTCCTCTCCACACCAGAAGGTCCACCTGGCTCCTGGTTCTTAGCCAGTGCCTTCTTCTCTTTGCCTTGACAGCACTGAGTGGTAGGAAAGGGTGTTGTGGCAATTATTTGGGGGAGAAGGGGTCGCCAGTACCACCATGCCCTCCTACTCCAGCAGGAGCTGGAAGTTAAAGAGGGAGCAGTCTGGTCCCTCAGGGTCCCCTCTTCTCAGCCAGGGGACTGGGGATGGGAAGTGTCATGGCTAGGGCTTTTAACAGTCGTCCCCCAGGTTATAATGACTGTCCCCACCAGGCCCGAGGTTCCCTCACCTCTGTTTCAAAAGCTGCTGAGGTCCTGTCGTAGGCAGAAATGGAAATCAATCCGTGTCACCTAACAGACTTGAAAAACCACATCCGTTTATTGTCTATGTGACCAAAAGCATTGCTTTAACACTTGGTAATTTGCATTTCCAAGGAGAGCAATTTATTTTTAATTATTTTATCAGGAACTTGCATCCTCTCCAAACATAATTAGTTCCTCTGCAAAGGGATTATTGGTGGCTATGAGAACTCCCAGTGTAGACCCACTGGTTCCTTAAATCCATCTCCCTTTACGGCCTTATTTGAACTATTCCAAATGTTTCCTCGAACAAGGCAACACATTTGTTTCTTCTCTCTCAGGTAAAGGAGTACATTTTTTTCAGAAAACAGAGCTAAAGTAAGACTTCTTAGAAAGTATGATTAGCCTACCCCTCCACCCTCCTCCCCCATTTTTTTCCAGAAACCTGCATTTTATTTGGGATTTTGAAAAAAAAGAAAGAGCAGAACAGACCCCTCAGAGGGAATCAGAGTAGATTTTGACACTGCCCCTCTCTGTCTTCACCTGGATACCCTTTCAGCTCTTAGCTCAACCCCTACTTTTCACGTTTGAATCCAGCTCGGAGATGCATGGAACAGACACTCAAATATCCAACTGCTCCCCTAGAGCAGAGCCTGGGAACGAGCATTTCCAGTGAGCATCCCATGTCGGCACTGGGAGGGCCGCGAGGGATCCAGACAGGGCCCCGCGCCCTGGGGTTATCCCCTTGTTTGTTCAGAATGCTCTGCTGTCATCCATAGGATCTGGATCAGATTTTCTAAGAAGCCACACTGCATTCTTTTGGCCCACAGTGAGTTTTCAGGCAACTAAAAGCCCAAGGTCTTTCTTTTTCCTTTTTGCACTTCTAGGATAAAATTTGTTTTCCCCCAATTCAGTAGACAATTCACACGAAACCTCTTATGTCGTTGCTAAGGAAAACCTTTTTTTTTTTTTCGATTTTGCAACAATGTGCCAGTCAGCCCCACCCCCGAGTCCTCATATTCTCGTTCCTCCCCACACCAGAAGGTCCACCTGGCTCCTGGTTCTTAGCCAGTGCCTCATGCTCCAGTTACGTACTTGTTCATTTTCGTTTTTTAAAACTTAATGGAGAACTTCACTTTTACTCGTTAATTTCAACTTTTCCTTTCTGTTACCACCTGGTTTTGCTCTGAGCTTCTTGTGTTTTACGTCTTCCTTGGCAACAGGACAAACCTGTCTCGGGAGCTGGCTACCTACGATGTGGCCCACTGTCTGTCTTTTAAAATACCAGTGTTGGGATATGGCCACTCTCATTTGCCTACGTATTCTCGATGGCTGCTGTCATGACAGTATGAGTGGTTGGGTAGTTGCCACGGAGACTGGATGACCCACGAAGCCAGAAATGTTTACTATCTGGCTCTTTAGGGGAAAGTTTGCCAAACCCTCCTCTCTTTTAGTGACTAATGTTCTATCTGTTTTAGCCACGTATTATGTTCCCAGGAAACTTGATTTGACCCATGATATCTGTATCAGTTATATATCCGATTAATTTAATAAATAATCTTAGACTCTCCGTATCGGTGTCTAGTCCGAGTAGATCTGAAATTTGCGCCCTCTCTACCACGCTGCTACTAGAGATGGGGAATGACACACCATGCTCCTGAGTACTTACTCTGTCAGGGACAAGACAACACAGAGAAGAATAAGCATGAATAGGCTCTTTTCATCATTTTTAGTCTAGTGAGACATCTGTTGGAACAACTGATTTATGGCAGCAGATGAATGTGATGGCAGAAAGTCATGTGCCATAATAATTTCTTACAATCGTACAGGAGTTGTTCATCATTACAGAGGTTCACACCATCCTCATGCAAAGGGATTGTTATTCCCATCCTGCAGGTAAGAAATCGAAGTTCAAAGCAGTTGGGACTTACCCAGGATCACCCAGCCATATGTAGGAGAGTAAAAACTCAAATTGAGGTTTGCCGACAACAAGTCCTGGACGCTCCACGATAAACACTGCTCACATCCATTGTGATGGGGAAAATCTGGTGATGATAATATTCCCTTCATATGGCTGTTATGAGGCTAAAGTCAAATACTTACATGGGGATAAGTTTTAAACCATTTCAAGTAATAAATGAACGTCATTATAAGCCAAGTGTTTCCTGGCCTTACCTGTCTGTGCACATATATGAAATTAAATCAGCAATAATTATCCAAATTTTACAGACTTTTGCCCCAGGCTGCATATACAGAGTCTTGGCCATCTAGAAAGTGTTCTTCACAGATTTCGGGGGATCCCCTAGGGTTCTGTGAAGTCATATGAGCTCACAAACAAGTCCACATGCACACAGTTCTCTGCAGTTCTGTTCAGCTCCATGGGTTCCCCTTGCAATTGGGCTGCTGGAGCATATGAGATACCATGCTGGGCAGCGCCCAGTGATAAGTAAGCAAGGAAAAGCACCTACCTCCCATTCAGCCCTTGCATTACAGTCTGTTTAGATCACAAATTAATCCAAGTTTGCTTGTTCCCTATGTCTGTAAAGATCTCTTGTGAAAACAGATCCTTCAGCTTTTGCCCAATATCTCCTTTCTCTGTAGGGTCCAGACACCAACCTGTCTGGGACCAGTCTGGTGAGAGACAGACTTCATGCTATGCTCTCCATTTCCCATTCTCAGCTCCCAGGAACCTCTGTATTAACCTCTTCATTACAGGACCCCTTACCCTCCTGCAGGTGGGTCATGCAAATAGGGAGGCTCCCCACTCATCGGAAAGGTCCAGAGAAGGTTGCATTTCCTGTAGGTTCAGCTGGGACTTATGCTACGCTGGCTATTAGTTTTTACTCCTGATGCAGCAAAGTGCATGGAATCAACATAGAACGTACATGATAATATGGATGAGTCTTACAGCATTTGTTTAGTGAAAGAAGCCAGAAACAAAGGCTATGCACTATGTGATTCCATTTCTATGAAGTCCAACAACCAGCAAAATGAGTCTATGGTGACGGCAGTCAGAATGATGATTTCCTCTTTATTCTGAGTATTGACCAGGAAATAGCATGAGGAAACCTTCTGTGGTAACTGAAATGTTTTGTACCTTTGTCTAGTTGGTGGTTTCATGGGTGTATTTACATGTGAAAATTCACTGACCTGTCTTCTCAAGATCTGAGTACTTTACTATATGTAAATAACTTAATAGTATAGAATATGTGTTATATAACACATAATATATAATATATAACA